TTCTAATGAATATTTTTGTTCTCTCTTGATGATTCGGGCTCAAATAGTGTAACCTTTAAGCAACATAATCTGAATATACGTGTGAGCTTAAATTTAGATATTTAAAAAAAATGAATACTTTCCCATTAAATTTGACCCTTTTAAATTTTAAAATTCTTTCTTTCACATCTCAACTTAGGGGTCAAATTATAAATTTTTGAAACTTATAGTCAGATTTTAGAAAGTGCTGGAAATTCAGGGACATAGTCTTGAATTTACCCAATTTTGTTGGTTAATGAAAAATAAACCCCCTTCCCCGGTGAAATCCCTAAAACTAAAAAATTTCCCCTAATTGAGCAACCCCTTCGACGACCTTATCCATCAAATTCATCATCGTCCGACCTCCATAGCCGTCGCTACCACTGCAATCGAACCGCCACCTTGCCCCAACCAAAAGTCCTTTTACCCCTCACCGAGATCGGTCATCGTTCGTTGTAGAAGTTCATCACAAAATCCCGTCGAAACCCTCACTTCGCCGTTTGATTTTTCGATGACTCCAGTCGCCTCGGCTATCTTCGTGTCTCACCGCCCTTAACATTGCGTTCCCCGACCAGTTCCGATCAAAACCCGACCGGGTTCATCGCCTATCGTCGCCGTTTTCACCGACCGCCGGCGTGGGTAAGCTTTTCGGTCATTTTCTTTTATTTCAGTTGGATTGTGGCTGATGTTTGAGTTGATTACGGCTTGATATGCTGTGTTTATGCTCCAGGAAGAATCAACCGACCACCCCGAGGCCGTCGCCATCGCCACTCACCTCTGTGTGCGCGTGGGCTTCCTCTCCTGCACTGGAAATATTCTAGAACCGGTCCAGCCAGTTTGGACCTGCCCAAACTGGTCAACCCAGTCGAACCGGGTCTATTTAACCCGACCGAGTTAACCCGGATTGAGTCAACTCGTCTGAGTCAACCCGTTGACTTTGATCGTTGACTTTTCCGAAAATGTCCTATTTTATGTTTTTCGACGTCTTGAGTCCGAATCTAAATTTCATTTTGCCAAATTCGCACCCGGTAATCCGTTTTCAATATTTTATCTTTGAATTCAAGTTGGTTTCTCAATTAAGTTCAGTTTCTGACGTAAAATTTGTTTGCTATGTATCCGAGGAATTATTGGACATTGAATTTAAGTTCGAGAGTGATCGAATGAAGATTAAATGTTCGATCAATGGAGCATGAAAATCGAGGTAATACTCTACTACCTTTTGTATGCTTTTCGGAACTCATTGATAGATGGTAAAAGCATGAATGTAAATGATCAATCCATTATATGTATTTAACTATCATTGGACTTAGACGTAAATTGGAATAAATACATAACAAGGTATAAGACTCAGACGGCTCGAAAAAGAGAAACTACAAGATCGATCGGAAATAATTATAAGTTCAGTGATTCAATAATAAATGAATTGGTTTTAAGATCCGTAAATTTTAATAAATTTCTTTAAAGGTTAAATATCAGGATTGTTTGGATAAGAATGACCAAAAATAGCTCTATGGGGTAAAATTACAAAAAAGCCCTTGTATTGTAAAAGACCAAGGCTTCCCCAGATGGTGAAAAATAACCCAAAAAAGGCATATTTGACCAATTATTAGAAATAGTGCATGTGTTTGAATTAAAAAGAATTACCGAAATGTCCTCGAATGATGAAATAACTAAAATAACCTTCATTGATCAAAGGAACAAAATACCCTAAACGCTAAAGAAACAAGAATATATTCAATTCTAGTTTATCGAAAGTAATGTAACTGACAGAATTAAGTGGGATGATGATGATACGCTTAAAGTGCTAAGCACAATGGATGACTATGATAATGAAAACGACCTGAGAACCCATATCTTGATCCACTTGAACCTTGGAATTATCGATTTAAATTTTGGATCTATATTGGAATGCCCCTGAAGTGTACAATGACCCAAATAACGTCTAAGCACTGGAATAACTAAATACCCTCCAACTCTGAAATGAACAAATCAACCTCGAATACCAAATGATCAAGTTGAACTGAATGTAAGTATTGTATGTATTCGAATGTGCGAAAACGACAAATTACTCTGTAAACTCCAAAGTGACCGAAATAGACTTAACTAATAAATGGCCTAAGTACCCTCAAAGACCTAGAATTAAGGGAATGAATTAGATAAGTCTGGAAACGATGATGAACCTATAAGTTGTACTGTCCATAAGGGTGTTGAACCAAGAATCAAGTACGTGGACATTTCTTGATATTGTTGCATTATAGAAATGCAATGAAAACCATTGGAACACATGTTTGTCTCTCTAAGATCCATTCAACGAAGATTTTAAAGATGATCAGTTTGACAAAAGTTGTCAGTATTAAAGTGTGAATACCATTGTGGTGCATCGATGAGACAAGATGACATGTATCAGTGCTGGGATTTGCTCAGTTTGAGTTAACTCGATACCCTGATAAATCGATATGAATCTTAAATACCATGAATCATCGTTTTTCCCTTATTGGATTAAATTACTAATAATTCTCCAAGAACCAAATGTCTAAAATGCCCCTGTTTTGCCTGAATAATGGGAACACTCATGTTATTTCTAAATCTTCAATAATTCTAATGTAAAATATTCTGAACGCCTACTTGATACTCAATTGCTTACAAAATATATATGAATACTGTATGATCTTGATAAAGCACTTCCCGATTGAATGATGAATCAATTAGCTATCAAATCCCCTTGTATAGGGATCTTGATTCTGGACATCCTATTTAAATTACAAAAGTTTCATGGTTCCCTATATGATAAATATCAAGTATCTCCGAATATTATATGGATCCTATAGTGTGTTCCTTATGTGAAATGTAAATGATTTACATGTTTTAAACGTGATCTTCCAAAATCACTGATTTATTAGTTTATGAACTATGGTTACCTGAAATGTGTTATCTGGTTTCCTGTTTTTTCTGGAAAATATGATCATTCCTGAATTATGGATCATGGAATCTACTGGTTACTACTTGAATTGTTTTATTGAGACATTATCTGGGTAGGCTGGAGTATGGAGGTTCAGCTCTGATCAAGCTGGTAAATCCTTACAAACTCAAGGTAACCCTTGAGTAGGCTCTGAGGCCCCGAGAAACTTTCTTAGGTAGGCTCTCAGGCCCTAAGACACTCCCTTGGGTTAATCATGGGACTATATATGGTGTACGGGTGGATGACAACTATATGGTTTATTTCATTGGCATACTTATGAGATTTTACTAGATCACGATCCAGTTATTGCTGGTTACTATTAAATTTGATTTCTACTGGATAGTGTATGGGTATGATTCTAAAGTATGGAGGTTTAGCTCTGATCAAGCTAGTAAATCCTTACAGACCTAAGGAGGCCCTTGGGTAGGCCCATAGGCCTCAAGGCATTCCCTTAGGGTGGCTCACTTTTGTTGTGTGCTTAGGGTAATCCCTTATGGATGCAGTTCTAGGGAACTGCATAACAACTTTCAGTTGGAGGGTTCTACTATGGTTTTGAAAATATCTTTTAAATTGTTACTGTTTTAAAAAGATTTATATCTTTTTACTGGTTTTGGTTGGAACACATTAGACATCTTATTCCAATCTCCTGAATACATGGTACTCTGAATGTTTCTTATGAACTGAGATATTCATGACTTTTACTCGATGAAATGCCAATGAAACCATAACTCATTCTTAAAACCTGTAGACATCTGAATCAACAAGTTAATGTTATGGTTTTCCATTTATCTGCATGTTCTTCAGCATCATCTGGTAGTTTTGTATTAACAAGTATCCCAAAGCTCACTCTTTTACTCACCATTTCAGGTTAAAAGTCGTAGCAATTTAGCTATCGACTACAATAAAGGAGTTCCACCGATGTTGCTTGCAGAGTACGGTGCATGTGATTAGGGGGCATGTAGATTGTATTTTATTTTATATACAAGTCTGAAATATGTTTTATTTTTGAATATTGGTAAATTTTAATTTTGTATTTATAATTTTGTATTTATTATTTTATATGTTTTAACAAAAAATTTATATTTTTCCGGGAATTTTTTTTACGGTGGGTCGCTCCGGTGGCCCTAATGTGACACTCAGATCGGATCAGGCCACCCGCATCGATATGAGGGGGTTACAGTTTCATTCAAGATATCATATCAATCATTTTTTAGGAATAATTTTATCATTTCACTCATTTTACATAGCTTAATATATGATCAAACTTATCTCTTAAAATTATATGCTTAATCAAAAGAGTTAATTGCAACACATGTCCCCAAAGTATGATCCTCGTTTTGAATTAATCCTTAAACTTTTAAATATTTCAATTTCATCCCTAAACTATGACCATAATTCTAAATTAATCCTCAAACTTTTGAAAATTACAATTTCATCCCAAATTATATGTATATACTAATCACACCCCTTGTTAATAAAACCATTAGGCCAAGTTATATTATTATATGTTTGAAAACAAACAAAATTTAGTTTAAACTACTGTTAAAACTAACTATATATTTGAATGAATTTGTGGATGAAATTAGAATATTTAAAAGTTTGGGGACTAATTTAGAAAGAGAGTCATAGTTTAAGGATAAAACTAGAATGTTCAAAAATTTAAAGACTAATTTAGAGTGTTAGTCACACTTTGAGTATTAAATTGAAATATTAAAGGTTAAGAATCAACTTAAAATGAGGGTCATAATTTAAAGACATATAATACAATTAACTGTAATCAAAATAAGATAAAAATAATGAGAGTGAGAGAGTAATAAATATTTGGCGCGTGTACTCAAAACGGCTAGTGGATTAAAGCCACGTGGAAGCTTTAGGTACAGGCAGCTGACGTCACGCCTTAACCTTATTCCTTTCGTATCGAGCAAAGCTTCTGTTCTTTTTCTTCCTTTTCCTTTTAAACTATATTATTATTCCTCCAAGTCTAAATTAAAAAGAGAAGTGCAATCCGGCCCGGGGATTCTATTTTCTCTTCGCTATCGTCAATCGGAATTCCAGCACCGCCGCTGTCAATTTCTCTCGTAGTTAAACACCAAATTTTCCCGAGAAACATACAAAGTATTGGCTAGAACTCTCCAGTTCATTTTTTCCTCCCATGCCCACCCGAGTTTATCCATTTGCCTCGTTTTAGCAGAAGGAAAAGAAAATAAAATTATCTGATCAAATCTTTTTTCATTCTTCCTCGGATTATAGAGTTCAAGACATTCTCATCTACGAATTTGCTCGAGATAAAGAAGATGACAATCACAATACATCAGCAAAATCAGGGCCATCAATCGAGAGTTTTCGACGACCTGTCGGCGCTGATTCTGAATCTTCTACGAGTGCCTCCACCGGCGCTGTCTTTCTCCGTCCAATCACCGTACTCGGAGAGAAGGCTTTATCAGCGAACGATATCGCCGGCGGGGTTCGCATGGCTGATGCTGGGGATATCTGTTTCGTTGATGTTTTGTGGATGGGTTACTTTCTTCATAGGGTTGATGCTGATGCCTTGGGTTCTTGGTTTGGCGGTGCTGCTTTACGTTGCTGGGATTGTTTCAAGCGTTTCCATGTTAGGCCGTTCGATTCTTTGTTATGCCATGGCCCCTCTCTTGCCGCGAAAGGATATTCCTGGTAAATTGTTAATTCTTGTTGAATATCCTGTTTCAATGTCTTCTTTATTTTCATCCTCTGATTTTCAGCAATCGTTTTATCCTCATTTGCATTGCAGCATGATAAAGAGGGTTCAGTCAGAGAGTTGACATGGTTCGGAGAATCGAGCAGCGTTTTATATCTTGCACGCCTATATGCACATATGTACCTTCTTTGTCAAATAGAATACAAGGGATGGACCCATGACTGGATCTTGGATCCCATCCTATTTTTAAAATTTTATATAATTTAACTATATTTTTTTATAGTTTATGTCTTTCATTTAATTATATATCTTGAAATTATAAATTTTATGATTGCACTTTCTTGTGTGAACAGGATTACACTTTTTTTTTTCTATTTCGAGCTAAGTGAAATTTAATAATTTTAAACTTTTTAAATCAAATTAATATCGATGATATTTGAATTTGACTCGGCTGAGTTACAGTCCAGCCATGAACTCAGCTAAACTAATTGAAATCGAAGTTACTGGTGTTGTCTGCTTTTATTTTGGCATTTAAGCTTCTGGTATTCCAAGTTAGTGAAGCAAGAACAGAGGTAAAATAAAGCCCAGAGTCCAAACAAACATGCAATAAAAAGCAAAAATTTGGTTATTTCACCGATCATTTCTCTCAACTTCATTACAAACATAACCAGAACCATCCATAACTTCCCCCAGTGAAATTACATTAACAAATCACAAAGGTGTATTTAAAGGAGAGAAAAAAAATATTAAAAGCGACCAAATCTTATAAACACAAGAGTAAAGGGTGTGGTTATCCAGTGTAGATGTGAACACCAATGGCGATGAGGAAGATAGTGATGAGTCCAAAGAAGATGACAGTATGGACGAGAATGGAAACCCCACTGGTTTGCATGTTCCCGAACTCTACCACTTTGTTCCCCCCAGGCAACTGAAACAACAATCCCGGAGTTAACACCACAAACAGCACCACCGCTATCACCACCGGTCCCCAATCCGCCATGCTTTTCTTCCGCACACTCTCTTTGACCGATAAAATTATCTGGGTTTTCTTGAGAGAGAAAGATGAGTAAATTTGAAGAGCAAGAAATGAGCTTAAAAGGCTAATGAAAATAAATACATGAATGTGTGTGTCTGTCTACATCGACATCGTGGTTTCTGGAAGATGGTGGCGGTGCTATGGCGACGTGGCAACATTATGGATCGTCCACCCCTTTCCAATGACTGTGAATTCCGATCGTATGTATAGCTTTTGCTAATATAATACTCCTTCCCTTTTATTATTAACATTGATAAGGATTAATAGCACGAATACTCCTTGTACTTTGTTATTTTTATCAATATAGTATGTATACTTTTTAACTATGCAATGTGTCCCTTGTATATTGCTTTTGCGTTTTATTGTGACCCTGGGTCTAACGTCGTTAACTAGTGATGTGATAGGATACGTGACACTCTCTTATACAGTCACGTGACACTATTTTATAAGAAAAATAAAGACGCTATAAAAATAAGTGAAAGAGCATGACAATAGTTTTATCTTTTTTCACAGTAAAAGATGTTACTAATTCAGCAATTAAGGTAAACACACATATTTCACGTTTAACGTCTATTCTAATAGAATTCAACAATTAATCTCGATGGTAAAAATAATAATGTTATCTTTAAAAGTTTTAAATTCAAGCAGATGCATTCATAATATGTGTATAAAGATAATTAAAGTATAAATACTTATTAAATAAATTAATTCAAAAGATTACTATAATTAAATACAAAATAATTGATGCATTAAAAGCACCATAAACAACATAGAAGCGTAAAATACCTTCTTTCCTTTAGCAACTTTAGCGTGTTTGCATATGAAATTTTCTTTACGCAAAAGATTCTTTTTGTATTTAATAGCACAAACGATTGAATGTAGGGACTTCTTCCCGTGAAATATTTTAGGACTAAAAGTTAACATCAACATTTACAGCTTTATTAAGAAAAACTCTTCATATATAAAGAGTAGAGAATAATAAATTATTAAAATTTAAAAATTATGAACAAATCATTTAATTAATTAATTATCATAAAAGTTAAACTGACATTATATTTTTTATTATAATTTCTTTATATAATTAAGGACAGAATGATATATTTATTATAATCGATTAATTAAATATATTTTTTAATTTTAATAAATATTTATAATTTATTAATAATCAAGTTATATATTATATATTTATTTTAAAGAAAATCCACCGCCAGAATTAGACATTTTCGAAGACTATAAGATGGGCCTGTGGACTAGAGAAGCTCAGATCATTGCCGACTGACCTCAACTTTCATTGCTTTATTGAGTTTTGACTTCTACCTGTGGAACTTTCACCCATCATCCTACAAAAGTAGTGAAATTTCCATAACTCAACCTTATCCTATGGAATCCAGTGAAGATATCGAATTGATCAACCTGGCAATCCAGAAACTCTTAGAAGAAACCAGCATGACAGATATCTCTGGTGAAAAACCCTTTGGAAACGACGACAACCAGCTCCTCTCTAGATTATTCTCACAGGTGACAAAAACCCATAATTTCAAATCTTCAGAAAAATGGGTTTTCTTGTTCATGATGAAAAATAAAATAAATTAATTTTTGCTTACGGATGTTGAACAGTTAGAATCATTAAAAGATGGCAAGCTGAAGCAATCCGAACCAGAGGAGCTTAATTCTCGAAAGGGTGATGGTGTTAAAGCAGAAGCAAAAAGTGAGAACGGCAGTGGATGTGGGGGAATCGGTGTGGAAGAGTTAAGGAAAGAGATTAAAGAGTTAAAGAAGCAGAATACTATTACCCATTGTCTTGTTTCGGTCATGATCGTTATCACTTTGTTCTGGCAAGCCTCAGAGGCATCCCTCCTTCTCAAAGTTAAAGATGGCTTTGCTCACCCATTTAGTTCATTTGGAAGTTGGCTTGTTAACAAGGTGAAAAGACCCACAAAACAACAAAATAATCACCTTATTGAACATTCGGGCCACTCGGTTCAAATTCCCGAGCTTCCCCATGTTGAGTTTCCGCACCTGGGATCGAGTGGTGAAGGACACTGAGCCATTGCAGGTTTTAAAGATGGCAGCTTTTGTCCTGGCAAGAACAGAGTAAACGAGAGCCAGATGCAGACTTGCTTCTTTTAAGTTTTTGGTTATCATTTTTTTATTCTGTTAATCCTGTTGGAATGTAAGTAAAGTACGGTAATATAACACTATTTCAAATTTCAACTATGGTATAATCAGATACGTCTTTCATCAATTCAACCAACCACAACAAAGAAGTAACTGAAATATGGAGAGACGTGGAAACCATAATGAAACATGAAAAACAAAATTTTCACGTTTTCATTTAAGATTGCCTAAAACAAGCAAAAGTGTTTTAAAACTTCAACATTGTATTACCGTCCATTGATTAATCATAGTGATTTTGTCATTGTTTTGAAAACCGGACCGGACCGGACCGACAGGTTCAATCGGTTTAATAGGGAGCTGTTATCTAGTCCGGTTCAATCTAGACCGGTTGAATCGCTACTAGTGAACCAACCGGAACCGCTAAACCGTTCAAACCAGACCGGCTGAAAACCGAAAAAAACCACCAATTTTGTTTTTTTTTTTAAAAATTAAATCAAACAACGTCGTTTGTTAAACGAGCCACGTCGAACTCGAGTATTGCTGAGCTCGACTCGAACTTGAAAAATTTAAAAGTAAGCTCAACTCGATTCAAACTCACGAGCTAAAAAATATGAAGTTTAACTCGAACTCGAAATATAATATTGAAACTTGAACTCGAAAAGGCTTGAACTCAAAAAAAATTAGAAGCTCGATTGAAGCCTAAAATTCGAGCTTGATTGAAGCGAAAGAATAGTTCACTCAATGCTTACCAAAAGGCTTCATGATTTTTAAAATCAAATTACCTCTATTATTTATAGAAGTTAATTGGGATGATCTTCTATGTTTCTTAGTCATGTGGGATTGTTTTTTTAAAAAAATAAACCAAACAATATCATTTTGTTATGATTTTTTAGCCCCAATTTTTTTTAATTATAGTTATATAATTATATTTAGAGAAAATAACCTCAGTGACCAAAAATCTCATATAATATACGATTTTAACCAACTTTTTCCGGATTTGCCAAAATGACCAACAAAATCGTAATGCGATCGCTAATTCGCAACGCGATCTCCATTATCGCAAATCAGTTTCCAGATTCGCAACGCGATTATGACTATCGCAATGCGATTTTACAATTTCGCGTTGCGATTTTCCCAATTCGCAATGCGAATAAGTAAATCGCAATGCGAATTTGGAAAATCGCAATGCGATACTGACTATCGCAACGCGATAATACAAAATCGCAACGCGATACTGACTTTCGCAACGCGATACTGATTTTCGCAACGCGATACTGACTTTCGCAACGAGATTCTGAAAATCGCAATCATCTTCAAAATCCCAATCACAACCGGCTTCACCTTTTGGGACTGTTAACTTAGGTGATTTTTAAATGCAAACGTTTTATTATGTGTATTTTATGTGTGCACTTTTAACATTTTCAGTTAGGCATGTATTAGTAACTTGAGTTTGAACATTGCTATGATTTGTTCAGTTGTTATCACTTATTAGACATTCATTTGACTATCGCAACGGGGAAATCGCAACGCGAAAATGACTATTGCAACGCGAAAATGGCTATTGCAACGCGAAAATGGCTATCGCAACGAGAAAATCACAATGCGAAATGAAAATCGCATTGCGATTTTCTCGTTACGATTTTTATTTCGCATTGCGATTTTCATTTCGCATTGCGATTCTCTCGTTGCGATAGTCAGTTTCGTGTTGCGATAGTCTGTTTTGCCTTCAACATAATGCAGATTGAAAATCAACAAATCAACTATTACATTTCAATCAATTAAACAAGCACAAATAAGAATTATGTACACATCAATTAAACAAATCAACATTTACAAATCATTTTTTACAAATCAATTAAACAATCAAAAAATAATAATAATTCTTATTTCCTCATCAATTATTGAATCAATGAATCAACTTTTGCACCCGTACATCCATTTCACGCAGCTCACTTAAGGATTAACCTGCAGAAACCAAACATTTGCTCAAACAAGACTTCCTACACATCTAAAACCTACAAACAACAAATTATTGAATTCTAGGTACTTAACCAAACATTTTCAAACCAAAAGGAGTATATATGTTAACAAAACTTGCATTTGACTTACCAATTAACAATGGATACTTTCATAACGTGGATGCAGGTAGGCAGTGTCTCGAATATATCGCTCTAGCCATATAATGCCGAAACCACAAGCCTACTGCAGCTCTATCTCTATCGGTGGGAAGTAGAAACTATGTGCTTCCCGTCGTCAAACGCGCCAAGCACATGCATACGAGAGGACCACAATCCCCTCTGGTTCCCGGTGATTGTTGTGGCGCAGTTTCGTCTCTGACAACTGTGACATTGAACTTCTTTGGCTTCTTGTGTCCAGAATGAGTCCAATAATTAATCCCATCCAAGAATTTAGCCAAATGAGAGCTCCATCCCTTGATAATATCTCTCAAATCAGACAGTGATATGTAATTTATCATGCTGTCATATACTATTATCTTCAGGGATGGGAGCTAAAGTTGGACGAGAAGCCAATGACGACGTTCCAAAACAAGGATAAACAACTGCAATCATAAGTAATAATTCATTTATTTGCGCACTTATTTATGAACACCTTTAAAAAATTTTAAAAATAAACACTAACCTTATCGACCTCCCACCATGCAGGATAAAGTTTAGCTTGTCCATTGCCCAACGAAAATGATTCATCTCGTTGATTCTTCAAGTGAACTGCGTGAAAAGCCGCTGGCATTATTGTATATCGTGAATTTTTTTTATTTTTCCTAAGCTTCCTTATTATTAGAAGACGTGACACCCACGCATCGATATGCTGTTTTACAAAAAAAGACATATATTAGTTAATTACATTAATTTTTTAAAAAATTAATCAAAATCATATATAAGACAAATATAAGACTTACCTCCCCATCGAAATAGCCACTGTCTTCAACCCCTAATAACACACCCCACCAAGACCGATTAAGCAACAAATACATCTCATCGTTGAGTTTGCTTATGTCAGTGTAACACCCTTGGCTCCGCTCATGTAGATAAAAATCAACTGCGGTCTTAGCCCAAAGGGTATTATCCAGAATTGTTTCTGGTAGTTGTCTCCTCTCCACTTTAGATATCGGAAGGGTACTAGCCGGTAACTCATACGAGAGCCAACTCTCATCCATCATGTCCGGCAACGGTGGGGGTTTTTCAATAATTCGATATATTACCCCATGTGAATCGGGCTCTGGAATGGTGGGAGGGACCTCTTCAACGATGACAGTGGCCTCTTGAACGGTGGGGGGGACTCTTGAGGGATGATAGGGGCCTCTTGAACGATTGGAGGGGACTCTTGAGGGATGACAGGTGAGTTAGGCTTCTTCTTGCAGAGTCTTCGCACCATTGGGTGAACGGAGATGTAATAGCACATGCACGCCGTCTGATGTGTGAACTCCGTCGTGCAAGGAAAACTCGACAAAAAGCATCCACCTTATCGGGCCGCTAAAAAAAATTAATACATAAATCAGTAAATAAACAGACATGATATTAAACAAAGACAAATATGTTTCAAACTTGCATTGTATTCACCCAAGTCATTATTCTATCATAGTTCACAAAATGCATCAGATAACATTCCAGAAGTAAGCACTTATATAAACATTTAAAAAGACAACATATATAAACATTCCAGAAGAAGAATAGTTTACTTTCGCAACAAGAAACTTACTTTCGCAACGCGAAAATGACTATCGCAACGCGGAAATGGCTATCGCAACGCTAAAATGGCTATCGCAATGCGAAATGAAAATCGCAACGACAAAATCGCAACGCGAAACACAAATCGCATTGCGATTTTCATTTCGCGTTGCGATTTTGTCGTTGCGATTTTCATTTCGCATTGCGATTTTGTCGTTGCGATTTTCATTTCGCATTGCGATTTTGTCGTTGCGATTTTCATTTCGCATTGCGATAGCCATTTCCGCATTGCGATAGTCATTTTCGTGTTGCTAAAGTAAACTATTCTTCTTCTGCAAATTGAAACTTGAATGGATTGCATTACTTCAACCAAAAGACAAAAACAAAACCAAAAACAAATACTAACAAAAACAGTTTAGCAATATTGGCAGCAACCGAATGAATTTATTAAGCAATCTAAGTGAAATGGTTAATCTAAGTGAAATTACGAGTAAATTTATCATCAAGTTAAATATGAAAAAATCTTAAACTTACCTCGTTGCGTAGAGTATGAACCTCATTCTGCAACGATGCTACCATCTCACGTAGAGCGGCTACCTCACCGCATAAAGTAGACACCTCAATACGCCATGCACCATCGTCTTTGTGTAAAGTACCGACCTCCTCACGCAAGGCATTGACCTCAACACGTAACTCCCCTAACTCATCCCGCGGAGGTGGAGGTGGAGAACAGGGAGATAAATGTCGTGGCAACTTTGCCGGTCGCCTATCTTGCGGTGATGGTGGAGAAGAGGCTCGATGATGTGACAGAATAGGTGATGGCTGTCGTTGTGGAGGTTTATAGTCGGGTCGATAAGGTGATGGCTCTGGGTGAGGTGATAGCTCTGGGTGAGGTGATGGCTCCCGAAGTGGAGGCTGCTCATCATCCGTGCCATCAAAAAAACGCTTACTAGCTTGCCACCAATCAGTGGCAAGCTCAGCTTCCGTGGGTGTCAGCCTCTGTAATGGAGTGTTGGCCTCCTAACAATATAAAAGCTCAAACAAAGTTAAACGTGTACTAGTAATAACTTGTTTATAAACATATGGTAGTATTTATGTTAACTTACATTATTTATTGTCGTATATCGTAGTAAATCTTCCCATTGCAAGGTCCGTTTCCTCTTCCAGGAAATAGCCCTGGGAATATCATTTGAAGTTTTTATTGCATATGTCTTCATGGCGGGAAAGTCCTCAAATATCCAAATCTACAAACAATATAATAACAAACATTAGTAATTGTTAAATAATTACTTATAATTTTGGAAACATTATATAAAAATTCTTACCTTAAAGGCCCAAATAAAGCCTGTCAAAGTGTATTTGGAACCATCGCCATGCAAACTTTTTCGATCATATAAGGCAGACGATAACTTATTCCATGTAGCTTTCCATAAATACGAGCCCCACGGAAACAGGTTCCACGCATTTAGGTCTTCTACCAATTTGATTAGATTATTCGGAATAGGTTGTCTGGCCTCTCTGCCTAAAAAGCCAGCATGCAAAAGTATTAGAAGGCATACTCGGACAACATCGACGTCATCCATCAGAGTAAAACCATCTTTCTTATTCAATAATCTCGTCAGGTCTTCCACGTGTAGATTCGGCCTCTCCAGCTCAGGAAAAACCCGGGATAACCATGATGGGCGGGTAATGTGTCTAGTGTACCGACCTACATCATCGTGTCCAAAGCGTAGACCGGTGATTAAGCAAAACTCCTCCCGCCCAAAACACGTATACGCCAGTGGAAAATCAAACCATATCTCTTCATCACGATGTTGTATAGTATCTGGTAGATCGCTAGCCATGGTTTGAAGAAACAGGTGTGTCAACATCGCATCTCCACCGGGATGTTGTACTTTCAGCCATGGCCCGAAGCAAGTATCCTCAAACATTTTTCTTTGTGCAGGTGAAAGCTTCGACGCAATTGTTTTGACCAGGCTGACTTTATTTCTTAAGGTCAATTGAGCCGAATAAAAGTTCTACAAAAACAATAAACATACTAAGTTAGATATACCAAAACTACACTGTGAATATATACCAAAAACAATAATAAACATAAAGAGTAGTAGTTTATTCTTCAAACTTAAATTTGCAACACTGTGAATTTCTTATTTGTCTTTGTTTTTTTGTTGAAGTAATGCAATTCATTCAAGTTTCAATTTGCAGAAGAAGAATAGTTTCTGAAAATGAAAATCGCAACACGAAAATGACAATCGCAACGCGAATTTGACTATCGCAACGAGCGAATAAAATCGCGTTGCGATTTTCATTTCGCGTTGCGATTCTCGGTTGATTTAATAAGCAATCTAAGTGAAATGGTTAATCTATTATTGAAATTACCAGTAAACTTATCATCAATTTCAATATGAAAAACCTAATAATAATACAAAAATTTCAAAAAGAAAATAATTAAAAAAACTAACCATCGGTGGTTGATTTGGTTGATTTTCCATTTCTGATTGTGAGGGTGGCTCTGAGAGATGGAGATAGACGGATTTCGCCGGAGATGGGGACGGATTTCGTCGGAGATGGGTGAGAGAGTGAGAGATGGAGATGGGACTGATTTGTGATTTTAAGTTTTAGGTTATGAGTTGCGATTACGGGATATACTGTGGACGGTTCAGTGTTCCAATATATTAATATTCGTGTTTGGAATTTGAAAATAAAATACGTTTTGCGATACTAATGGCGCTTTGAAAATCGCATTGCGATTATGTATTATCTCGTTGCGAAAGTCAGTATCGCGTTGCGAAAGTAAGTATCGCGTTGCGAAAGTCAGTATCGCGTTGCGATTTTGTATTATCGCGTTGCGATAGTCAGTATCGCGTTGCGATTTTCCAAATTCGCATTGCGAATTGGGAAAATCGCAACACGAAATTGGAAAATCGCATTGCGATAGTCATAATCGCGTTGCGAATCTGGAAACTGATTTGCGATAATGGAGATCGCGTTGCGAATTAGCGATCGCATTGCGATTTTGTTGGTCATTTTGGCAAATCCGGAAAAAGTTGGTTAAAATCGTATATTATATGGGATTTTTGGTCACTGAGGTTATTTTCTCTTATATTTATTATTTAATATGTTTTACCTTAAATATTATGTTGTAGTTAATTTGAATCATTTTGTTTCACTTGATTTTATGGTTTTTAACTTATATATGTTATGACTTGCTTTGAATATGAATTGTGATATAAAAAATTATTTTTTATTAAATATTTTTGGTATTTTTATTTAATTTTTTAAATAATTATGACGTCGTCCGATTCTTCCGACCAGTCGGACCAGTTCTTTCGACCGGTCGAACCGGTTGAACCAATGAACCGGTAGCATGACCGGTTCGCTAACCGGTCCGGTTCTGAAAACCATAGATTTTGTCTTCACGCGTAGCTCAACCTGAATATGTCATTCAACACATAGAAGCTTCCTTCTTGTGTTGGCATCAAATGAAATATCTGAAAGCGGAATACAAGACAAGGATACATAAATTAGTGAAGTTGATAACGGAAAGTTATCCAATGCTCTTACAAACAAAACGAAACAATATCTACAACATAAAACGGTTAACTATCAACACAGATGAAACATATATAAGTTAGCTCCAAACAGGGATGGATTGCTGGGGAGTTTGCCCTCCGAAAATCTCAAATTTTTATGTAATTTAGTTTTTTTTTCTTGTATTTTCTATTTATAATCTATTTTTAATCTTAAAATTTTCTGAATTCGTCTTCTAACATAAAATCCTATTTCCTTTCTTGGCTCCAAATAGAAGATATAAACCACAAGGAAAATCATCAATGGCTCTCGATGAAGAGAGTAGGTGTCAAAATGGATTATCTTTTATATCATGCAGGGTCCCAAGAAACAATATCGAGAGAGATGGCAGATAATTGTTTAGAGTGAGCAACGAGAGTAACCTCCATCACTTAATCATGCGAAAAACATAAGTAAGAAAATGAAAAGAATACTAGCAAATGATGCTTGGCCTGGGATAAAAAACACACACACACACACACTATGAAACGGAATAAAGCTCTCGAATGCAGTCTATATAGTAATCATCGTACTGCTTGGCTGCTTGCACATTTTATACAACTGAGGCTCGAGGAATCCCCAAGGCAAGAGGATAGCAATACCGAAAAGCGATAGGGTGCAGAATTTATGATTATGAACATGTACATGTGCAGTCCTATGGTGCATAACAAAATGAAAATGCAGCATGTTCATTGGAAAGGTGGTAGATCCAAAAACAAAATCCATATCTTCCAAAACGTATTCATGCCACAATTAACTGAAATCAGGTTTATCGCCTAAATAACACTTTTTAAACCAATTAATATAGATTCAAAATGGAAAACGTACAATTCCTGAAAATGTGATCTCAAACATATCAGATGAGCATTAAGGGCTATAGACATCACAGTTTTCAGTTCCCACTTCAACTTGCGTCGGATCGAAACATCAATTTACAGGACCCATTAGTAATTGCATCGCGAAATTAAAACCGATGGACTAATCGATGATATCAACAGCGACAACATAGACTAACACAGATCAATCAGCTAAGTAAGCATTGAAGTCCTAAAAGTAGAAAAGAGACACGAATAGAAGACTATGAAAATTTAACTGGCTGAACTTGAGAGCATGATGTTCGCCTGCGAGTTGGAGGTTACCACTGACGAAGACGAGCATGCAGCCGAAGCCGGAAGACTGGCAGTCGACGGTGGTGATGTTGTGCTTACACTGCTGGAAAGGAATGCTGGTGAGCGTAGCAACGATGTTCTGGGAGCCCTGGATCTTTTGACCTTCGAAGGTCAACATGGAACCTTCCTGGTAGAGATTGGCTAAACCGGCCCGGTTCGCATCGAATGCCGAGTAGTAGTGCTCGACAAACGCCTTCGCTACTGCGTCTGTATCCATTCTTCTTCTTTTATTTAATGAATTTCAGCGGCGGCTCCAAATTCAGACGACGAAAGATATGAAACGGCAGCGGAATTAACGAACAAATGAGAGAGGCGAGCGAAGATTTGAGAGGGCTCTTCTTTTATTTTATAGGATGATTGATCAAACGGCTCAGTTTGAATTATAAAAGTATCAAAAGGGTTTTTCTTTTTTTATTCTTCTTTTATCTGTTGGTGAAGGATGAAATTCGACTGAAAATGGTATTAAACGTGTTCAAATGATTAAATAACTGATTTACATTTAATTAATAAATTACAAAAGTAATATATATTTATATACACATTTTAAACGAGAATTGATAAGTGAATTATGGTGGGACAATAACAATAGAAATGATAATGAATACAGGGGTGCAATATCCCACACAGTAGCTGAGAAGCAACTCGTCTTTCAATTCAATTGGTCAAATATGGTACAATAAATAATGTCCAGAGACAACAGCTTTCAGTTTGCAGGAGCTTTTATTACCAACACAAGGAAGATACAGCTGCAATTTTTCTATATATAGCCACACTATCATCCATTTCCATCTGGTAACTTTTTTCTTTTACCCCAAATAACTTCTTTTTTACTGCACAGACATCTTAATTCACCAACCCTGCTGAAAGGGCTTGGGATTTGGAATGACCGGCTTTACAAGCCAAGTGAAAATACATCATCAGGATCTGCTGTATTCATTGTAAAAATACAAAAAAGCTCAAACCCTATGTTCAAGCATGATTCTATGTACACTCTGCAACAAAAACAAATGTTTCCCTGCAAAAACATCAACCATTACAAAGATGTCAACAGATCGGTAAACAGAAGAAACATGACGTTTAGTTTCTGTAAAGGTTTGAGATATAATTGAATGGTGGAAAGAAACTAAATATTCATAACTAAGTTATTCAGACTCGGGTGTAAGCATCGGATTATGGTTTGTATCGAACACAAGTATGTTCAAATTTTCCATACTTTTTCGTGTATTTGGAAGGTTCTTTTTGGGGATCGGGCAAGATGTCGAGCATAGGTTCTTCAAGCAAAATCAAAAGCAAACCCCAATGAGTGGAAATAATTGAAACTTCAGGGAGTTTGAGATGAGGTTAAAGGAACTCACTGTTGGGAAGAATCTGAACTTATTTGTCCCAAAGAATGCCAGTGTAGAGGCAGTCCTACTGAAGCCAGTGGCATGTCATGAGTAGATGCTCTTCCAATGGATTCTGACCTCATATTGCCTATTGGAAAAATCGTGAAACTTCCAGGTATAATTGCTCCGCTTCAAATGGTTTTGACACATATCCGTCCATTCCAGACTGTTGGCATTGCTCGTGTGTAGCCTGGATAACATCTGCTGTCATAGCCAAGATGGGTACATGCCAGTTTGAAACATTGTTGTAAGCATCTACTGGTAGTCCTCCAAATTGAACACGATTATTGATGTTCTGCTCCACATCCCGAATTCTCCCTGTAGCTTCGAACCTGTAGAGAAAAGAAGAAAAGACCATCAGAGATAAACATGACTAAGTCTGAAAATAATCGATTGAGAACTAATGACAATTAAAACAGCAGCCGCCAAAGAAAAGCATCAACTAGAGAAAATATTTTCCACGTATTTTGTTATCATATTCTGAAGGTTTCAAAACTCAATTTCCAGATTAGAATCGCGTAAGAAAGTTCTAGCATCTAAATGCAAAAATGAGCACATACCCATCCATTTCCGGCATTTGGATATCCATGAAACAGGCATCGAATTGGTGAGGTGGTGTAAGCAGTTCAATAGCCTCTATTCCTCTTGTGGCACTAACCACATCAGCTCCGTATTTTTTCAACGCACCAGCAGCAACTTTCAGGTTCACATTGTTGTCATCTACAATTAGGATTTTTCTCCCTAGAAGAAGATTCCGCAGAGACAAGCTTGGTAACTCCCCATTACGGGGGTTCCCTTTGTTCCCAATGCCCATGGCTCGTTGTAGAGATGCCGCTAACATGCTAGCCCTCAATGGCTTTGAGATGATGGTCAAGTCACAGGCACCAGTAGTAGTATTCCCTCTGGAAGAATTGATAGAATTACACAAAAGGAATACCTTTGGAGGAGTACCATGACCTATTTTCTCCAATTTATTGATGAAGAGACCCGAACAGCTTAGATCTCTATCCCAAACTTCTTGTTCAATGAGAACCATGTGGATTGCATTATTCCCCCTGTTTATGATAGATAAAGCTTGTTTCCAATCAGAAACTATTTCAACGTGAATTCCCAGACGTTGGATATGATATCTTGACACCTTGGCCCGGACAGGTCTAGGATCCAGAACTAATGCTCTCATCCCATGAAACTCTGAGGAAACAGTATTAGACTGGCTATTGATTTGCTGGCTCTTGTGCACCTTTGAACTAGAGCTGCCACTGGAGAAAACAGCAGTAAATGTGAAGGTGGAACCAACCTTAGGAATGCTAACAAATCCAATTTCTCCTTTCATTAGACCAACCAAACACTTGCTTATGCTTAATCCAATACCCGTGCCTCCATGTGTTCGAGCAATAGAAGGGCCAACTTGCATAAAAGGAGTGAAAACACGAGACTGATCGTCTAGGGGTATTCCTAGACCAGTATCTTCAACCGATACGATAAGATTAATGCTGTCAGAGAAAGGATGCACAGGTTCTTCTTGACCAAAAGTTCTAAATCCTTTCCAGCTCTGGCGTCTATCTGCAACAGGGAAACCACTCAAGGTGTCCTTTGACGAAGATTCTGTCTCAACTTCTATTGAATCAATCACCTCCTCCACAAGATGAACAGTCACAAGGATGTGCCCTCTCTCAGTGAACTGACAACAGATACGTAAATTATAAGTTTATTGATACCAAAGCATAGTCCAGATAAAACTGAACTTAAATTAAAATAGAAAAAAATGTCTCAATTCTCAACAAGTTTTACATAAATCAAAAGGAGAACCAACCACATACTTTAATTGAGTTTCCCATGAGATTAGTGATTATTTGTCTAAACCTCCCAGGATCACCAATTAACATCTTAGGCACTCTATCAGAGATGTAAACAGCCAACTGCACTCACCCACAAATTGATTTCTCGTTAGACTCTTGGATGAATGCCATATGATGGGTAAGAGAAATAGAAATGGCAGAGGAGAGAAGGAAATGGGGGGAATTGGATAAGTCGGTGCTTACCTCTACTCCTTTGTCCTGAGACTTCCCAGAAAATAGTGACAACACATCATCCAAGATGGCTCGTAGGTCAAACTGCACTTCCTCGAGCTCTAGCTTACCAGATTCAATCTTAGCCTGATCCAAAACCTCATTTATGAGTGCAACCAGTGCCTTTCCACTAGCTTGTGCAGTTCTGACATAATCTAGTTGTGTAACATCTAAATCCGTGTCCATGAGCATATCCAACATTCCTGCAAGAAATGCATCTCATTGTTATGGATAAGAAAACCATATTATCTACAAGTTATTTAATTTAATTCTATGGAGTATAATCATAAAAAAACTTGAGATAACATCGGAGGAAAAAACAGAAATTTCCAAGACTCACCAAGAACACCATTCATTGGGGTTCTGATTTCATGGGAAACAGTAGCAAGAAACTGCAAAAAGGTCACAAATAATTAGGGAAAAACATCCATGACTGATCCGAAGGCGTAAGAGTATAAATCAGATTATCATATACCTGAGATTTGGCAATATCAGCTGCCTCGGCCTGTTTTGTGAGCTCCATCATCTTATGGCAATCATCTTCCACCTTGGCAATTCGATTGACAGTTGCATGGAAGATATGCCCAACAAGTAACGCAATTACAAGGATGCCAATTGAAGTGGTTATTGCTACCCATGGCAACGGTGGCTTTTGCTTAAACCTATAAAAAGAACAAACTTAGTCCATGTATATTCAACTTCTTTATCTTTGAAATGTTTTAAAGAATTTAGACCCTCTTATAGATTGGGTTTATGAACTAGATTAACGGTTGACATACCACTTGCAAAGCATGATTTACTAAAATCATAGGTTTTCAAGGAATGCCAAAATTTGGTCAAAAATCAACGAGAGAGGACCATATTGAAGAGAAGCTCAACCTCAGGGACCATATTAATAGATGATGCGAGATATATGGATTACCTGCAGCGCATCTCGTGCTTTCTGAAAGGATCACCAAAATTAAGGTGGCTGACGTGCTCCAACCCATCATTTGATGAATTGGAACCATACATACTGACAGGGCAAGACTGATTAGATGTGTCAAATACATTCACAAGGGTTGTTTGTTCACTTGATAGCTGTTGTAGCAACTTCTCCACAAGTGACTCAATATCGAACACCCCACCAAGGTATCTGATAGATCAATGAGATATTAGGATAACTTCTATTATCAAAGCTGCTAAAAAGGGAACATCACATTAGGGTCCTCTTGTTAAAAAGAGATCATCTTTTGTCTTCACTCTAGTGATGGGAAGCATAATGAAATCATCTTTCCACTGATTTTCATAAAACAATGAGACATTGATTAAACATTCCCTGTCTACTATTTCTTGTAGTGAAAACATACCCATCAGTTGCTTCAATCCTCTCATTCGGAGTTGCATTTGAAGGAAGATCCCTCTTGTAAACTGCAAATGTCAAAATAACTCCAAGACGATTTGTTTTGAGTAACCTAAAAGGAGCTGTTAGCACCCCTTTTCCTGATCTTCTTGCACGCAATACATTCTCACGGTCCTCCTGTATATACACAAGAAATATTAAAAACTCACAACTGAAGATTGTAATGAATTGACTAAAAATATTTTATAAAACCGGTATTAAAGGTCTTAATAGAATGAAAATTCTGTGTTCTTCCAAACTAGGAAGATATAAAAATTAACTCTTCAGTTTTGTTACGCTTAATAAAAATAAAGGTTTCTCTTCTATGCCGAAGGAATCACAAAAACTTCTATAAAATAGTAAAGGAACTCACCTTTCCTGACAGCATATCAAGAGAAACCACATGTGAAACGATATCCTGGGCAAATATAACAGGAGCATATTCTTCCTGAATTGGTGATGTTTCAAGAGTATCCATCCTCTTAATAGTCCAGCCCTGTTGCCTCTCAAACTGTTCCCTTTCAGAGTGGAGCACCCTTACAGCGTATGCCACACCACTTGTGAGGGGCCTTTCAAAATCAGTTTGCTCGGTGTACCTCGCAAAAGTCCCCTACAGGTTCTCAAAGTGAGTTTTCTTTGTCGACTAAAACACAAGCAATCATAATTCACAACTTAAACGCACAAATCTCATTGATCTTAAGCTTAAATAACCATGCTTAACTGAGCATTTTGACACTTCGATTTGAGCACAAGAAAACAACACTGAACAATAGCAGTCAAGCACTTAATTATCTATATCAACTAGTTCTAGGATTCTATCTAAAAGTTCCAAGAAGAGGATATGACTTTACCTGATCAATAGCAGATGGGGTTTTCCCATGGTGGAAAGTCGAGATCAAAATAGACATAGCCTGGATATGGTTCATGCTTACATTAAACTGATCCTGCAACATCCTAGCTCTCTCTTCACACATGCTAGCCAGCGTCTCCTTGCTCTTCTCAGTCGCATGAGAGCTCATATAATAGAAGATCCAAACAGAAGCCAAGGTCCAACCAATTACCCATGGAAACAAGAGCTTTCTCCACAAGGACTTACAAACTTTCTTGGAACCGATATACTGGTAATACTGATGGTGGATCTTGAAGCTAAAGTTGGAGATTTCATCCCAACATTTGAACCACATCTTGCTACCACTATCACCAAGGAGACCAGCCTTGGGGTTCTTAAATTCACCGTTAATGAACCAGTTCATCGAGATCATAGATGCTATCCAGCAACATAAGATCCAAAGCAGATGCCCCACCTTTAAACCAAACCCAAAAACATGGAGCAGACTCATCCAAGAAGCAGTGACTAATTACCAGCAAACTAAAGGAGATATAATGAACCCCACCCCCCCTCCCCAGCCTGAAAGTGGGTCTTACTTCCTTGCTAATTCCAGCTAGAAAAGAGAAAGAGACACCCAATTGTCAAATCTATAAAAACTGTCTAGTAAAATCCAACATCACCAGAAAATCTCAAGAGCCTTGAGATAAGAGAATAAATAAAATAAAAAACCCATCAAACTCCAAATTGACTACAAGACAGAGATTGATTAGAAGGAGTTGTATCCGTGTGGGAAAGAAAAAGGAACAAAAGATGTTATCTTATCTGATAAATGCAAGATATAAGACCTGGAATTGAGGAAGATAAATGAAAAAAAAATCACAATTACCATAGAAAAGAATAAAAGAATCTCTTAAGATTCTGATTTTCAATTTTCTAACAACCACCCAAAGTCCCAAAATTAGATATCAAATCAATGAAAAACTTAGCTAAAGATAATCTTCCCTCAAGGTAAAAGAATCTGACATGAAATCCTTAAATTCCTAAAATCAAGCATGGAAGACAACAATCAAATATGAGGATATTAATGTTTGACACCCCACAGCCAAAGAACAGCATCACCCCTGTAGAGAGATCTATGAACAGAATTCTGGAGCAAAACTAAGACTTAATACAAAGTAAATCTTCTTAGTTACTTAAAAAGGTGACACTAACCTTCAACAAGTTGGTGCTGTAGTTGAAGGGAATAAAAAGATTTTTTCTCAAGTGTCTAAACTTTTTCTCAATCAAACTTAGCGTCTAATATTACAAACATAAGCAATTTGATGAGTTTTTATTTATTTTGTTATATTAAATTAAAAGGAAAAACCTCAAATTCGAACTTTAAATCAGAATTTTTGGACTTTTTTATGCATATTAAACTCCACGTCATTACATGTCCAAAAAGGAGAATCTCTGTCGTTTAGCTTTATTTCTAAAATTATTTATCATTATTATATCAAGGTTAAATTTTTTTGATGTGTCACACTCTAACTTATGGCCTAATTGTTTTTTAAATTCTTCTGAGGCCAAAGTGAAATTTTAACTAAATTTGGAGACTAAAATGAAATTTTGATTAAATTCAGAAAGTATTAAAAATTAGAGGATCTAAAGTGTAATTTACCCATTTTCTTTTTTGGTTGGGTTTAAACCCAAAATTCAACCGTTTCCAATTTTGGAAACTCATTCTCTCTCTTTAACTTTTCCTCATTTAAAAGGAAACCTTCGATATTCGTTTCAGCGTCGACCGTTGTTTCGTTTTCGACATCTCTTGCACTATTGTGTGCCTTGTGTTGTCACGAGTCCACTGGTATTCATCTTGTCTCCGTTGTCACCAGCGTGTGAGGGGTGAGGAAGATAAAGTTTTCAATGTTTTGAAATCGAGCTCTTCACCGTTCACAGTTGTGAACCGGGCTTGGTAAGTGTCTCAAAACCCCTTAAAAAGCACGTAGGATTTTTTTCAGAAATTTTTCAACCTTAGAGGGCCCAGCATGCTCCGCCGCTGCGTGTAGGGAATTTCCATTGCCTAGTGAGATGCTCGATAATGAACCGACTCGGCCCACCTACCCAACCCAGACCTAATCGATTGACCGTTTACTGTTGACCGACGTTTACTTATTTTCGAAAACCTCCATCTTGACGTTTTTCGACATCTTGAGTCCGATTTTACGATCCGTTTTGCCAATTTATGTCTCGAAAGCCCTAATTTGAGCCTGTTAATCCGAAAATGCTTAGTATTTTTAGAATTTTTGCTTATTTATTTGAGATTTGATTATGGAATTGATTCGAAAATATATTTTTATAAAGGTACTCTTGTTTCACCCAACTGAGGATCGGTTAGATCCGATGCTTCCCATCTGTCAGATCCGCACGATCCGCGTTCCTCGAGAATTACTCGTAGGTATCTGTAAATTGTTTAAATAAGGGTTATTATTATTCATATTATGATTCGATATAGATTTTTCGATTCGTAGGATCTAGTGTTGTCGCTGATCGTGATCGGCAGACTCAGTAGTAGGCTTCCTTATCAGACTACTTAAACCGATACATGTGTGTTTCCTGATGGTGTTACATTATTGTTTTAAACTATTTATCTGAATTGTTTTAGATTTATGATAATACCAAATATTTTTACGACATGATACATGATTTTCTGAATATTTTTATCTGATATCGGATTTACTGTACATTTATGATATGATCTCTGATTTTTTATTTTCTATATCTGATTTCTGAGTGGAATATTTTTTATGTTTTAATAGATTAAACTACAGTTTTCACTCGAATATATACATGCTCATTATTGTTATTGAGGTATTATTTGAGGAAGTATATCAGACCTAGTCTATGACTTGTAAGACCTTACCGCAAGCTCCTCGGCTTTGTGCTCAAGGTAAGTCCTTACCACAGGCTCCTCGGTTTTGTGCTCAGGGTAAGTCATTACCGCATGCTCCTCTGCTTTATGCTCATGGTAAGTCCTTACTGCAGATCCTTATGCTATGTGTATAAGGCCTTTACCGGGTGTACATGTGGGTGTATGGTTTTGGGAAACCTACACATTCTAGTGATAAGATGGGGGTAGTGTTCATATTTTTAAAAGCACACTGGGTTTTTTTTATCTTATTATGTAAATTTTAACCTTTTTCAGATAGTAGCAGACCGTAGGCTAGCAAACTTGGCATCAAGAGGATTGACTACTCCTATTTTAATACCACTGTATATCTCTATATGCATTTTTTTTATACTTTGGTGACACTTGTTTTTGTTACCGTCTCGATATATCTGTATTACCGATTTTTTGTTTTGTATATGTTTTATACAATTTATATATATATATATATATATGTAAAATATATGTTTATCGTATGAACATTTCTTATGACTAAATTCATATTATACTGTTATATGGATTTTAACATTGTTTTAAAGATGAAAATAAATTCCTGAATAAGATATGTAACAACCTAGATTTGGGCATAACGTCTAGGACAGATCTAGGGCATAGCGTCTAGGACAGATCTAGGGGTTACATGATTAGTCCTTTTACTATAAATTGAATATCCAATTAATCCTTCACTACAAAAATAAGCAATTTGTTTGTGATATATCCAAATTATCAATTCAAGCAAGTTTTTGTAATAATTGATTATGATTATAGTAATTAGGATAAGTATTATGTTACTAAATTTAAAGATGTTTGTTATTGGGTATTTGAGATATTGTATATTCAATTTTTCAAGTACTAAAATAATCAATTTGTATCTCGATTCATAAAACTCAAATATTTATAAAATTTAAGTATCCACATTTTTTAATCATATGTATCCTATTTATATTTATATTTTTAAATTATAATATTTAAAAAATTATATGAAAGAAGCATAAAACTGAAAAAGATCATAATACACAATTCAAATATAGAAGTTGGAAATCTAAAATACATAGTTCAAAGATAAAATTAAAAAAATATAATATATCAACAAATCAAATATACCGAACCAGATAATTTTAAACATCCCTAATTAAATCCAACATTAAAATGTTCACTTCACCGTTTTAGAAAACATTAAAAGAGACCAAGCTCAAAAGATTCCATCTCAATTCACCGTTTAAAATTTCCAAACTTGAAAGCTGGATGTTTGATTTTCTTTTCACGAAACCCCACAAGCTTGTAGATAGAAACACATGCAATATTTTATATTAAGAAATGAAATTTTAAAATTTTAGAATGAACAAATTTATAAAATTTTACGATGATGAAAATAGATTATTAATTAAAAATACAAAAGAAAATATTTAAATATATATTAATTTAAAATTTTCAAGAAAGCGACTATTCGCATCCGCACCCTCGTGCATCCTGCTTATAGGTTTAATCAAATGCAATTTTTTAAACCAAAATTATGAATTTGTGCACCCAGCAATGTGCCAGGTAGTTTGTCACTTAATTAATTAAATAATTAAACACTAATACAAACAATTTAGATTTATTAATTATACCCAAAAAATCATAAAGGAAGTCATGTATGCATCAACAGACATTATGTCTCAATTAATTTATGGGGTCGGCAGTGGTTAGGGGAAAGGTACAATGTATTAATTAATTTATAACATAAACAAATATATTGAAACTTCAATGTATTAATTAATTTTGTAAATTAAATTAATATTAAAAAATAAGAAAATAAAAACAAAATTATGAAAATGGCTTCTTCTTCTTGGGAGGGTAAATCGTTACTCACTTCTATTATGAAAATTGGTTCGACGCTTACTTAAAATGAGACTCCAAGCTTTCCATGTGCTAACATCTGGTGTGCAGAAAATTAAGGATATTTGGCTACTGATTCAAAACAAAGGGGAAAAAGTGATGTGGCACAAACTGATCTGGTTCCCTCTCCATATTCCTAAGTTTAGTATTATTGCATGGATGGCCTTATTAGACAGACTCCCAACTAAAGACTGACTGAAACGTTTTGGGTTTGATATCGATAACAAATGTGTGCTTTGTAATGACTCGATGGAAACTAGAGATCATTTATTCATTCAATGTCCTCTAGCTATTTCTCTATGGGATGCGGTTATCATCCTCAATGGCATGCGAAGGACATCACGTACATGGGGAAATCACTTAGCTTGGGCTTGTGATGCTTGGAAAGGTAAATCCTTGCTCACTACAATTTTGAAATTAGCTTGGACAACATTTATTTACACTGTTTGGGAAGAGAGGAACAAGAGGCTATTCCAGGGATGCTCACGGAATTTTGAAGCATTACTCCATGCTGTAAAACACACTGTTGCTATCCAACTAAGGGGTAGAAGAATTAATAGGAATGATAGTGTTAATACTATGCTTTGTAATCATTGGGGTATTGAATAGCTGATATTTTGTTCTGCTGTAAGTAGATACTGTTGTATTCTTGAACAATCTGTTTTTATACAGATCTTTGGGTAATAAAATCGAATTATCCAAAAAATTGGTTCGAATGCGTTAATCTACACCAGTTGGCAATAAAGAAACAAGAGGTTTTTCCAAGGTCGTTCCTCAACAGTTGAAGCGATGTTTTATGCTATCAAGGAAATTGTTGGTCTTCAACTAAGGGGTATGTTTATTAATAGATTAGATAATGTTAATATTACTCTTTGTAACCACTGAGGTATAATTTGATTTTGTTTGATTGTCGTTTTTTGTTCAAGGGCGATATTTTTAAATTTGAACTCTGATTGTATTTTGTAGCAGATCTCTGCTCTTTGGATAATAAAATTGAATTATCCAAAAATAAATAAAATTATGGAATTTTAGAAAGATAATGGACTGAAAGTCTTCTAGATAAAATAATGGCGGAAACTATGACTGAGCAACGAAATTGAGAAAACCAAAAAATCGACACGAATCGAGTAAAACGGTTCGGTTCAGTTCGAGTTTATGTTTAAACGGTTCGATTTCAGGTTGATTTAAAGAATCAATTCTATTAATTCGGTTTGGTTCAGGTTTTCCATATGGAACCCACTTGTTCCATATTGAACCGAATAAATAATTTTTTTTAATTTATAGTTTCAAGTGAATTTTTCATTGAAAAACCGACGAATCAAACTGAACCGAAAAAACCGC